TTGAAAGTGGCCTTTTTAACATGCTAGGAAAATGGCTATTTAAACAGAAAATGTAATACAGCTGTCAGTCATATCAATTCTAACACAAAGAGTTGGTTGAGTTGTCACACATTGGCTGGTATGTGTTTAGTGCTTCACGTATTCTTTTCTTTCTGCTTCTCCTGTATGTTTGATCAGTTGCAGACCTTTGAGACAATGAGCTGCCTCTCTTCCTATTTATTATACTACCTTATGCCTTTATGAAAGAATGGTTACAAAAATCAGAAAAGCACAGAAACTAAACCATGCCATACAAACGGCACTCTTAATGCAATAGCACTTGAAAGATGACCAGACACAAAATGCAATACCTTGACTCAATACTGCTCTACACATGAGGAAGATACCTACATTCATTTATTTGGAAAAATCCCTTACCAGCAGGAGCTGATCCTATAGAATGCAATGCTTTAGCGGCATTTCTGCTTTCAGCTAATACAGGAAGGCTCCTTAACAATGTGTCCTGTTAATAGCACAGAAATTATGAACTCTGTATTTGGAAGAAAACAGTACATAATCTAGCATCGAATCCCAAAAGGTATACTGCAACAAGGCATACCAAAGCAGGCAAAGAGGTGAAGGACTGAGCTTGCATGTGAGTCCTTGGGCAATCTCTCTGGTCCCACCCTAAATGACAGAAGGGAAAAGGAAGCAAAGAAGCGGGAGGCTAATTCTGATGGGGGAGGGGGAAGAAATGAAGAGCAGGATAAACCATCAGCACTACAGCTAATGGTAAATGGAAACTTCAATTTGCCACTCCCTTTCATCATATAAGAAAGAATTGGCTTGCTGTTACCACAAATGGCTTGGGCAAAAGCAACAAGTGATAAATGAAATGCCTGAATCTTTAATCTGTAGTAAGAATTGGAAAAGAAAATTACAACTATGTCATTATTTCAAAAGTTTACTGCAAGATTTTCCTCTCATGTCAATCTTTTCCAACAGACTTTACCAGGTCTAAATCATTCTAAAACATTTCTCCCTATTTGCCTTTGGGTATATTTCGTAACCTATGTTGTATATTTCACATGCATTAGAGTAATTGCTTCATCAAATTAATAAAGACTGTGTGCCAGGACAGGTCCTAAGAGACTGACCAATGTCAAACTTCCCACATGCGTGTCACTAAAAGGATCAGAGAATGTAACTGTAAAACACTGATAATGCACATGGATACAGCTGCAGGTATTATACCCATGACTGTAAAATGGAAGATCAGTACAGTGTATCCATCAATATAATATATGAATTACCAACCCGCAGCCTCTTCCCCATGATACCTGTAAACTGAAAAATACTGGCAGTAGCACAGCAGACACTGTTTACAAGCTTTACAGCCCAGAAAAGAATTTACTTTCTATACATTACTAACCATCTATAGTATTAGGCTAGTACTTCTGCATTTTAATCTACTGCAAGTAGAGTTTCAAGTAGAAAGGGGGCGGTCCTCTAAAACAACTGTTGATCAAGGCCTATTACACACACACAGCTTACTGCAGAGAATCCAAGCAGTCAAGCCTTCAAGCTTGACTTCAGATTCTGTGCCTGCAGTATGCACCATTCTTTTTTTCTCTGGTGCATCTATTCGGTAGCAATCCTGGCAGGGCTGCCCTCTTCTGCCATCCAGTTTAAGCAATTGCTCTAATGCATGTGCAATATACAACATAGGCTGCCCTCTCCTGCTGCCCAGTTTAAGCTCCGATGGCTGTGCCTGTGAGCTCCCCGCACGTGCAGCCTTCTCCCCGCTGCCCAGTTTGCCTTCACGATGGCCCAATTGCAATTTACAACCATACTCTAGAAATTGGTGATTTACTCAATAACATTGGGAATCCTATAGATATTGCTGTCTTTATGCAACAATGAATGGATACAAAGAGACAACTGATATACATGGTCCGCTTCAGATGAAGACTCTTGAAGTGATTTGGTAGTCTGGAAAATTTCGTCATTTAAATTTTCTGCTTGGACCTCTTTTCACCTTGTTATATGCTTCTGTTGTGCTGCATGTGTTGTATATGTCTACAATATAATATTGTTATTGTATCTTCTAGTGCAGACATTCGGCTTTATTTTTCCTTTGGTTGCAAGTTATGAGCCGAGATTCTCTAGTACTGTTACAGTTTATACCAGGTGGCAAGAGAGGGCAGTCCAGCCCGGAGTCATTTCTTTTCCCAGCAGCATGCAATGAACTATAGTCTCATATCACTAGACTCATGCTGCTCATAAAAAAAATTAAATGTAAAAAAAAATGAGGGACACACCAATGGATGATGGAAAGTACAGAGTGGGTGGAATGACCTGGGTGTGGGTGTGGCCTTTGAGGGGTGGGAAAAGGGCAGGGGAGATCTGAGAGAATCAGTATGCTTTTGAAATACCTTCAGCTTGGAAGCAAGGCAAGGGGGAAACTGGCACAAAGGACCCTCACAAAACCCAGGGAAACAGCGAACAGGAAGCAAACTGAAAGGAGGAAAAACTATGCAGAACGAAAAAGAAAACCTGACAGACATGCACAGTAAAAGCAAGGCAAAAAACCTGTGCATAATAGGCCCAAGTGTCAATCACGGCCTGTTTGTTTCACTCGTTACATCTAGCAAAACTCAAAGCTCCACAAAACCAAATTACTAGCAATTATCACAAGCCAAAAGGAATCCAGCTGCCATCTCTTAGGTAATCAATTCTGCTGAGCTTTGCTGCTCTGGATAAGTCACTGAGAAAATCTAAATATTTAAACCCAAGTCAACAGTACTGCCTTTTACAAATTCAGTGTATCTGAAATACACCCTCTAACATAATAAATGTCACATAAAGTTCTTGATAAGAACCGGGTGGAACTACAGAGACCACTAAAATATTTGTGCTTAAAATACAGATACATGTCATTGTAACTCCTAAGATGACCAATGTGACTTAACTTCTTAGAGTTTAAATGAAAAATTCAATGACAATAAAACACAAGAAGTCACCTTTAGAAGGGGTGTTCTTTTTGTTACTTAAGATGACTAAAAAGCTGTCAGTTGTGAAAAACTGCCCTTTAAAATTATGTTTCAGCAGTTTTATGGTTCCAAGGCAGGCTAGAGCATGCAATTAGAACTCAGCTGCAATTATTATTTGACTGTGGAAGCATTTTTGTTCATGCATATATGCAGTGACTATAAATTATTTCACGTACCATCTCAACCAGTTTTCTTGCATTAGCTCAGTGTTTTATCACACAAGTTTTAAAAAATTAACATTCATCAATATAAGGGTAATCAAATAATCATACCTTGAGTATTATATAGTATAAAATAAAACAATAGTCCATGTCAACAACTGAAAGCTATGCAGAAACTGTTCAACTGTAAAAATAAAACCTGCTTTCAGATAGGTTACAAATTACAAATATTTCATAACACTTTCACTATTTTTGAAATTATCATTTTTAAAAAGCAAGCTACAATACACAATTTTGCGAATCTCCATCAGAACTGACATACCAATAATGAAACGGAAAAAGAATTGCCCATCCTTTTGAAAGTAGAGCTCTTCTGACACAGTCACTATTTTAACACCTAACTATGAAGAGTTGCCAGAAATATTCAAAAAGTCACTCTTTTTTTGTACTTTCTCCCCACATCAGGGAGAAATACAAAGTGATATTCTTTAACACTAATTCAACATATACAGAAAAAAATCTGTTTCAAAATTTACAGAATCTCAGACTCTACCCCTCCTTCCTACACACATGACAGGAATGTGCATAATACTAGTAAAAATGTTCTGCTTTTTGCCTCCTAAGGATCAGAATTCTAGAAAAGGAGTGCCTTCATTGGTAAATTGTTAACAAAAGCCTACACTTGGTTAATAGCAGTTAGCAACCAGAACAAACGCCCAACCTATACGTTTCCAACACTATGTAATATATTTCACTGCAAATAACCCAAGTTCCACTCATCTCAGACACTGGCTATACCTGCAAGTAAAGGGCGTCTCGGCTTTTATGTGTTTGGGGCTTCCTGCTTCTGCTCGCTACCATCTCTTCTGCTGTTGCTGCTTCTTTTCCTTCTGCCTTATGGCCTCTTAGGCCCAACCCCTACCTCCTGTCAGCAACAGCAGCCGTGGAGCAGCTCGGAACAGACGCCTCCACCTACAGGCTTACAGCCGCAGCAGCTAGCAAAACACAGCATTGCACAGGCGCATAGACACACGCTAGTCAGTCCTTTCACCACCTCCTTAGCCCTTTCCCCTGCATACTCCGCCCACTGCTTGAAGTCTCAGCCTGGGGGGCTTCCCCCCACAAGGCTGCCGCTACTGCCCCCGCTACTCCCCACCGGCTGCAGCCTCCTCCATATCCAGAAGGGCGCCTCTGCAGGGGTGCAGTCAGAGGGGGACCCCTCGCTCTCCAAGGGTCTTCTCTGCCTGCTCATCCTCGACCCTTTGCATAGCCCCCCAGTCGCCCCACACGCTTGCCTGAGGCCCTCGCCTCTCCTCCAACCCTCCCCCCTTTGCCCACCTCCACTCAAGGAAGGGTCAAGTCCTTCAACTTGCCCGACCCCACCCCGTTTTTCTGCTTTCCACGCCCACTTGGAATGGAGCGACCGACCAGTCTCTCTATTAGCGGCTCACCCCGCGCCGTCCCCTCGCCCGTGGCCCAGCTGCCAGGGACCCCCCCCCCCTTTGCTCTGCTCCAGAGCCGCCTGCCTCCCACATTCCTCCACTCGCCGTCTTCCTGCCCCCGAAGCCTCTTCCCCTCGCTGAGGTTTCGACCCCCCGCTGTCGTTACCAACCTCCAAATCTTCTCCCCCCCAGTCCCTGCTACCCCCACCCCCTCCTACCCACATCCAAATGCCCCAAACCTCTCGGCACTGCCGCCCGAGCGGTCCCCCCCTCCTCCCCGGCATTCCCCCTCCCTCCACATTCCAGCTGCAGCCCGCTAGCTTCCCTTCGACACAGGCCTCTTCCCACCTTCCAGTCCTCCTTACCGTGTATGATCCGCCATCCCCCTCAGCCGCTATCGCCGCCGCCGCCCCCCCTTGTCTCTCCTGCCGGCCGCCGTCACCGCGTACTGAGCGACCCGTCACGGGACTCCACGCCCACAGGCCTCCACGGTAACCATAGAGAGCGGCAGGTGGAGCGGCGCGCCGGCTTCAATTCCCGAACGCCGCCATCTTAGCCTAGGGACTAAAAATCTTTGTTGCTATTGGCAACGGACTGGGGATTGAAGAGATTACGGGGAGGGGGGGATGAGGAAAGCAAAGCGGTGATATGTATACAAAATAATAATAATTAAAGCATCCTTGCGTTGGTGGATAGGGATCCAAGAGCAACAAATAAAAACAATGGTGATGATAGAGGAGCAGTAAAAACACCAGACGCCTTGACTGGGTACAGCCTGAAGAGCAACATTGGAGGTAAAAAATACCGCGCTTCAATTTCGACTCTCATGCATTGGGAAGGCAATGGCCCTGCACCACACAAAGGGTGCGGAGTCTCTGTCATGCAGTCGATTCTGCGCGTCTTCCCCCAACCCAGTTCGTGAGACAAGAGAACAGAGAGACTCAAGATCGATTAGGCCAGTCTACTTTTCTCAGAACTAATTTATTTAAAAGCTCATTGTATTACAAAAGGTCTCACTGGATAACATAATAAACTAAGAAACTGAAGTACAATAAATCAAACCTAACCAGTATTGTTTATCCAAACCCATACCCATTTCGCTTTCGTTGACACATCATTAACCTATGGTAGGGTTACCAGATGTTCTCTTTTTAGAAGACATGTCCTTTGTTGGACTCTTTAAAAAACTGATGAAAATGTCTTCCTTTGGGGTTGAAAGGTTAGGAATATTCCTAGTTAGTAGCAATTATCACAGCTTAAATCGGGGTATTTCATGTGAGATTTGTAATAGTGATCACTTGTTTGAAGTAGTCCGTTGAGAAATATGTCCTCTTTTTTGCTTTTCCAAAATACCTATGGAATGCATTGCCAGAGTATGCTATTGTGGCCATGATCACTGATAATTTAAGGATGACAGAGAGCATTGTGACATTTCTGTGCACATTGTTATAACACACAACAGAAAACAAAGAGCCATATTGAAAAACAAATGAAGATTGCCTGAGGGGGAAGTAGATTTACAGGCAGCTTTTATGTGCACACTTCGAAACGTCTCACTGGGGAACAATTTAAACATGATGCAGAACATGCAAAAATAAAACCTGGGGGGTTTTGTGGCCAACATCATACACTTATTCAGAGCACAAAACCCTGTCTGCAATGTTATCATGTACCATGGCTAGTGTTGCCAACTCCTGCTTGGGAAGTTCCTGGAGATTTGGGAGGGTGCCTGGTGATTGTGGAGATGGGTGGTGGCAGGGATGCAATGCTATCAAGTCTGCCCTCCAAGCAAATTGATCTCTGTAGTCTGAAAATCAGTCATAATTCTGGGTGAACTCAAACCCCACCTGGAGTTTGGCAACCCTATGTGTGGCCCAGAGAATGCTATTACTTGTGTATCAGCACTGTGCAATGGAACCGGTGGCTAATGATGACACAGTGACACCACCCACAGGGAACTTCACACAGGTAAGGGAGGGACCCAGATAAAGGGGGATCAGCCCAAAATATAATTTAAATTAGGTCCAGGAACAGTGTCATATATAACAGAACCCATGTTCTCGTACAGTGGCATTACATTTCCAATTACAGTCCAGTGATATAATGTCATCCTTTTAATCAAAAGAGACAATTTACTTAAGGAATGTCCCTGAGTAGCTGAATTTGGACATGAAGCTTTTCAACCCTTCCTACACAATTTCTCCTTCCAGCATTATAACAGCACAAACACTAGAATAATGAGGTGCTTGCATTTCTGTGTGTCTGCAAGTATTGACCGAAGTTGCTCTTAATTTATTGGGACACTTCTTATTAAACATGCTTAAGATTGCAACCTGGAGTAGCCTCTCTTTACAGCAGGTGAGGAGAGGTGAATGAAAATTAGGGAAATGGGAAAACAAGCAGGAATAAATACAGCTGCCTCATCTACAGTGGGAATATTTAAAGGTAAAACTGCTAAACCAACAACCCTACTTCAGTGCAGAACTTTATCCAGTCTTCTTCAAATATTCTGATAACCTTGATAAGTGCCTCTACTTGATCACAGGCTGTATTAGTTTTTCTTGTCTGCATTGTGTCTCTCTCTCTCACAGACACAGTTCTCCTGTAAGGTCTGTATGTGGAGGGGAGGGGGGTATCAGATCTCCCATGTCTCTTCGCATTTGTGCCTGCCTTTTATTGGGAGGAAAGCACTTGTCTCAAACATCCTTCCCCTTCTGCAGCATAACTATATGGCAAGCCTGCCAGAAGGAGGGAATGCCAAGCAGGTGAGCTACCAGGGAGCCTCTGCCTTTATTCCCACTCCTAAATGAGGCTGCTAGACAGCTTTACCCCTAGTTACAAGAATTACAAAGTTCATACAAACAGGACCTATGCTTATATAGAATCAGACAGCCCTCACAATACCTGAGTGCAGTGATTAGTGGAATTGGAAATGCTACGCACAGAAATGTTGAACAAGATTATCCTGTTCGGCAGGAACACTGGAAAACCGTGTTGGTTGGAAAACATCCCTGTCACTTTGTCTATCTGCTGAATCACTCACTGAGAACTAGGACATAGAGCTAAACCAGATGTTACACGTAATCTTCCCTCAACTTTTTTTTTTTTACAGAAAGCAAAATTTAGATAGAGGAATGCAGAGACCACTTAGCCTTCCCCCATGCTGCTGTTTTTCTGCTCAAAATAAGTCCTGCCTGCTTTTCCACATTTGGGGAGGGGAGTTATATACTCCTAGATGGGTCCTTAATCTGCAGGCCAAGCTAAGACATTTGAGAACAGGGAACTTGGTGTGACAAAGCAGAGAAATTGAAACAAGTTTTAAAATGAAACAAATATAGAATATGACTTTCTCAAGCAGGGGAAAATTGAGAGATCTTAAATCAATACACAAAAATTGTTAAATCCTAGTCCAAATGGAAATTGAATTTTGTATAAATTGCAGCAGAATTTAGATTTAACCCAAAGTCTAGTTACCATTTAACTGTGACCGTTTTAAGAATGGTAACAAGAAGTATTATTGCTTGAATTTAGCAGTGCAGTCCCAACCAAAGTTATGCCTTTCCTAGTCCATCAGTCTTTAATGCTTAGATGTTTGAAATCCCTTGGGCCTAATCAGTGTCACCCTCCTTCCCATCTGTTCATCAGTTTTGCTTGTGTGTTGACTTATATTTCAATGACAGACTCAAAGCATCTTTTGCTCATGCAAACACTCCCATAACCTAGTACTATACACAGAGCAGTTTGTTCCAGGCTATAATCTTAGGAACTGCAACTTTCATTAGCAACTGTCATTAACTAATACCTAATAGTGCAATCGTAAAAACATTTCCCTGGGAGTATGCCCCTTTGAGTAGACCTATCTAGTACTGCACTGTTAATCTCTAACAATCCCTGTGCTTAAAAAATTGGACTTCTGTTGTGTTAATGAAAGCTAAAATTCCTAAAATGTTTGTGATATTACAGAAACACACCATTACCTTGACAAACTTTTATGATGGCAATGCTGCCCAACTAATTCCTGATATATTGTTCCAGACTATGATGTTGCATACCTCTGAAGTACTGACTAGGATGAACTGCCAAAAAAAGCTCTATGTATAATATTAGTTTATGGGAGTGCTGAAGCCGCTTTGACTCTGTCCTTAAAATGTAAATCACCACACAAGCGAGACTGACTAATAGATGGGAAGGAGGGTGACACTGATCAACCTGAAGGGATTTCAAACATCTAAACAGAAAAGTCTTCCATTTTCTTCCTATGAAATTGTTTACCAGTGGGGTCTCTCTGGCCAAATCTTTACACTGTTCTTAATTCATATTTCTCCTTCTGATTAGTATCACCAATGTTTTCCCCACCCCAAGCAGGGCTCCTATCTTTCCAACAGCTACTCATCTAGCAGAAATTTAGCAGAAGAGGTTTCCCCCCCATCATGGTGCTTCTCTGGTGGTACAAGTTTCACCAATTATATTTCTGCCTGTCAGCAGGCTGTTATGGGCACAGAAACCTTGTCAAAAAGGGAGGGGGGAGCTGTTGACCAGGCAGCCAAGGTGTCACGGCTCAGGTGGGGTGTCACCTGATGCTGCCACCACTCTGGTTCCAGGCTCCTCTGAGAAGGCTCAGAGCACCCTCCCAGGCCTTTAGACCTCCCTTTTAGCCGAAATGAGTGTGAGGACCAGGCAGAGTGAACAATGAAAATAGTTTATTTTATAGGAGGTCAAACAGACAAGGTGCAGAATAATAACAGTAAGTGGGTGAAAAGAAATCAAATACCCTAACGCATCTAAATATATACTGTCCCTAGCTCACTATCTCAAGTGGCCTTAGACTGCTCACCCTTCCCTCAGGATGAGGGTTTCTTCCCCACAGCAGCCTCCCTTCTGGCCCTGTTCCCTGGGATGAAAAACAGCTTTTTCTCTTGCACCAGTTCTTTTATTCCCCAGCCCTCTTCTTCCCTATTGGTCAAAATCAGTGCCAAAACTTCCCAAGGCCTTCTGGGGTTTGTAGGCCTAGCCCCCCCCTACTGCTAGCCAGGCTGCCTGGGCCTAGTAGGCCTCTGGTGGCACAGCCCAGATCATGATACAAGGTATGAGGAAGAATATGAGGACAATTTGTTATGTTCAAAGGTATGCATATTTTGTTGAGTTTCCAGAGTAGAAATGGCCTGTGGATAATATCCAGAGACACCCAGGGTCTCAGACTTGCACCCAGGGAGTTTACCTGCAGTAAGAGCACAGCAGCAGCTTCCTCCAGCTCAGGAGAGCCCGACAGGGATGAGCTATCCTTGTGAGGTAGAGGTCAGCTAAGGGTTAGGCCAGATGCAGAGAATAATGGTGGGAAAGGCTAAAAATAAGGAACAAGAGAAGTAGAAAGAAATAGGTTTTGGCTCAACAGGATTAGATGGGGGAAAACAAGCTTGGATTGGGGAGGGGGATAGAAGGATAGCCTGT